GCCACCTGGAGCAGAGAGTCCTGGAGGAATGATTGTGAGACCAGAGGACTGGAAAGTCTAGAATGTCTCATAAAGATGACCGGGAAGCTACATCTCTAATACCCATATATCTGACTAAACAAGACCTGAACAATGACAACATCAATAGATATGATGACATGGAAGGGGCTTACTTCACTACACCCCTAATTGGTTACCCAATACCAGGTGGCCTGACTTAAAACCACATACATACAAGCAACTCTAAGCAGACTCAGCAGATTGTATTTACATACTTACATGTTTATATGTATGTAGCTAACAACTAAAGAAAAAAAGGCCATGACTTTGAGGGAGAGAGAGAGTGGGTAAAGAGGAAGAAAAGAGGGGAAATTATGTAATCACATTTTAATTACTTTTTTATTATAAAAAGAGAAAGATAGATGACCATGAACATGGAGTCTATCCAATAAATAGCTTTTCTCCATGGTTCCCACTTGTTCTTGCTTGGGTTCCTGTTCGGGTTCCCTCAATGGTGGACTATGATCAGGACCTATAACCCAAATAAACCCTTTTCTCTCCAGGTTGTTTTAGTCAGTGTTGTATCACAACAGCGGAGACACATCATAAGCAAACACACATGCACAGACACACAAGGAAGCTGCCAGTGATGAGAAGCCATTTTAGGCAGCAAGCAATTTTAGCAGTTTATTTGTGGCTGACCCCTAAATGCTTTATAAGCACTCTGTGTGGGTGCCAGGGCAGAGACATCTAACACAGGATCATGCAGCCTTGATGCCTTTGCTCAGTCTTGTAATTGGAGAACTTGGAAATGGGCTATTAGAACTTTATAGTGTATGAAGTTTTTTTTTTGATAATCTAACCTAAACAAAACATTAGATGATCCCTGTAAGTTCCAAGCTTGCCTGCTCCTCTACATAGCAAATTACAGGACAACCAGGGCTACACAGACAGACCCTATCTCAAACAAACAAACAAACAAACAAACAAACAAACATCTAAGTTTACTATAATCTTCGTAATCAAAGTGTCCAAATGTCTTATTCCAGGCTTAAGAGTAGGTTCACTAGAGGAAAGAAACAGAATTGGTTTCTACTTTCCAACTGATGATGATTTTAATTGTACGTGTTTATGTAAATTACTATAGATGTTATGGGGAATAGTAAGAAAAGTACCTCAAAAAACTAAAAATGGTTATGATCCAGCTATTTCGCTTCTGGGTGTATAATCAAAGAAACGTAATCAGTGTGTCAAAGGAATACCTGCAGGCTCATGCTTATTCCTATGTCCACTTTAAAAAGTGCCATAAGCTGGAGAGCACTGACTGCTCCTGCAGAGACCAGGGTTTGATTCCCAGCAGACACATGGCTGCTCACACCATCCCTAACTCTACCTCTGGGTGATCCGACACCCTTTCTCACCTCGGCAGACACCAGACAAACACATAGTACATGGACATACATGCAGGCCAAATACCCATATACATAAAATAATTAAAAATTTAAAAGTTAACTTACATGAATTCATGTACACAGTACTTTTTAAAGTCAAAATCAACAATTTGAAGAAAATAAAATGTTTCCTAACTGTTCCCTTCCCCAAATCAACTACATTCAACATCTTTGCTATCTTTTTTTTTCTATTTGCTCTTTTTTCTATATCACATGTTTATACAACTATATTTTACACTATGACCATCTTGGGACATTTGAATTTTGTTTTTTTCTTTCCTGTATTTTGCTCTCTCTCTCTCTCCTCCCTTCTTCTCTTTTCTTTCTTTCCTCTACCTTGCCAATATAGTTATATTACAAATTTTAAATAATCTAATCTTTAAATTATTATAATCAAAAAATGTCATACACATAATGTATATAGGCTACATTTCCTTTCTAAGCTTTTGATTTTCCAGGAGTTAATAATTGCCTTGGTGTTTTTCGTTGCTTTTTTTCTGGTTGTTTCTCTCTAATCCATCCCTAAAGTTTCTGAAGGAACTCTAATCCATCTCCAAACTCGCACAATAGCCAGATTCAGTGGGTTATCATTAGTTCCACGTCTCTTTGCCATATCCCCATTCAGCCTGAAAGTCCCTTGGCCCAGCCCACTTTGAATGGATTGTTCTCCAGGCCTGTTGTTTGGTTGCTGTTTGGAGACCTTCTTTAACTATCACCCCCTAAACCTTTATCTTCTTTTGTGTTTGCTCGCATCACCTGTAGCCCCCATCTTACTCTTTCTTGATAAACTGCTATATTTTCATATAGTGTGATTTCTAGGAACTTCCTAAGAAAAGTCATGAGACATAGATATTTTTGAGACATACTTTTTGAAGTTGTATGTTTGAAAGTGGCTCTATTTCCTCTCTCATGTTTGATGGCATTGGTTTGGATAGATTTTTTTTTAAGATCTATACTTGATTCATGGTTGAGAAGATAAGAAAAAAATCTAGGTTCAAATTTTATTATCTTCTAGCCTCTGGTATTATTGAAAAACTAAGAAACCATTATTTTTCCTGATATTTTATACATGTTCTGTCTTATTCTCTCTAGACCTATCAATTTCTTCTTCTCTGTTCCTCCTGAAGTTTCTTTAATTAGATTCCAAGTCACCTTGATTGATTTTTTTCTTATTGCTTATTTCATTCTGGATAGTATTCTTAATTCTAGTGAATTTTCCATCATGCTTTTAAATTATAATTTTCATAGCTTTTTATTATTTTATGGATAGTCCTTTTCATTTGTTTCTGTAAAATTCTCTAACATATTTTAAGAATTTAGTGATAGGATAATTTTCCTTTCTTCCTTACATTGTGTTTCCTGAGGCTTTTACATCTTTCTATCTTGATTCTTCTTCTGTTTGTTAGACCTGAGGAACATTACACACATGTGGTATGAGGGACATACATATCCATCCAGATATGTGTTCAAATCTAATTGTTAAACATTACAAGCCATGTTGAGCCCTTTCTGTAAATTTGGTATTATCAACTGGCAGGTCCAGTCTTTGCCATTTTTGTTGGGAGGATATCCACATTCATAAACCTTATTCTGGTAAGTGGTCTGGGTGATGTCCTCTGAATGGATCCATGCTGCTCTGCCAGTGTTTGGAAGGAGTAGGTAAGTGAAGTGGCGTTTGGGGTTCTTATTAATTGACATTGAGCTTCCTTCTGTTTTCATCACATCTGTGATGTGGGTAAACGATTCATGTCTTTGTGTCCCTAAATCCAGAGCCTCTGTCACTTAATGCCTCCCCATGAAATCTCATGCTCTGTGTCTCACTGTGGAAAGGGGTTTCCTGGCAGTGTGAGTGGGGAGAAAAGGCTGTGGGCGGAGTCATTGTTCTTTATTCACGCTAGCAACCATTCCTTCTCCTCACCCACATCCTGCTCTCAGAGTCACTGAACCTTAAACCCCGAGTGTTCCTTGGGTTCTGTGGGACAGTTGGCTTGCTTCTCCACACTAAAGGTGTATCCCCTACACACACACACACACACACACACACACACACCATCTCACAAGGTTAACTTTCAGACTTCCAGAACCCCTGCTTTCTCAATCAGTCACCATTCATCCATCTAACTTCTCAAATTCACCCCTTTTTCCTGTAGGTTTATATCACCTTTATGACTGTCGCTTTACTAGGACTCCAGGCAGAGATCAATGTGTGTTTTTCTTACACACTTCCCATGCTTGTTTCTATAAAATTATACATCCCAGAGGCAGGACTAGATGTCACCTACACAACCTAGGTTACTTTTTTTGTAGAAGGGTCTATCTTTTTCAAGACACAATTTTAGGCAGAAAAGCCAATTAGTAACACGGACGAGAGTGAAATTATTTTGGTTGCAGCTGGTACACTAACAAGGTTTGCATTGGGTTGCTCCTAGCATAACTAAAAATGCCTGTTAGGGGCTTTTTCTTCACCAGACACAGTATGAGTTTCTGGAAAAACACAGGAGAAATGCAGCTTCTGACCCATGCTGCTCAGTGCACACCTCTGTGCTAAAACCTGCCCGAGAAGTCTGTGTCGAAGATTTCTCATCTAATTGAGACACAGAAGAAAAATGACTTGGCCAAGGGAAGCATTCCGTGCTTTCTAGACCATCCCTGGGAGTGAGGTGCCCTTAACAGGTATATGCAGAAAATCAGATCACAGGGTGATGGCCAGGAGGGAAAAGTCAAAGAGCTATTGGTAACTATGGCTTTGTGCATGGAGATGTGACAAAGGCTAGGAAATGGCTATATATTATGCAGAAAGCTCCTAACAAATAGTGGCGACTGTTTCCCCTACAGAAAAATGCCACCATTGATCTCTATATTCTTGCCGTCTCCCTTGAAGATACTGCTTTTGTTTTTATAATTAAAATTCCTAAAATGCTCACTCAAAATTTGAAAGAAATAAAACTCAGTCATTTTCATCTAGGATCTTTAAGAACTCTGTGTGAAAAATCTATTGTGGAATGCTGAAAGTTATCACAGCTGGGCTTTTTGGATTAAAAAAAGAAGAAGCAAAAAAAAAAATAGGGCTTTATCATTGAAGCACAGCAATCCCATTTATCGGGACTGACAATGCTAAAGACATTTCAGCTTTGTTTTTCAGACCAAATCTCTTCCAATAACTGACTGACCTTCAGAGTGGCAGGCCTATAGCTTCGCTGAGCACAATCTGCTTTGGTAGGACCTGTTGGACAGGGAGATTGCTTTTCCAGGGACTCTAAGCCTACGTGCACTGCCCCCTACCATTTTGATCAGAAAGGTCTACCAAGCACCATTTTCTTCATCCTTGGAGACTGGGAGTTGCTTGTAATAATAATAAAGTTTTCTGCCTTGAGTGTCCTAGCTGTTACATCAGATCCTTCATCTCTATTGGCCTCGGCCTCCTCCTCTGCAAAATGCAGAATGTGGACCAGAATATCTGTGAGGTTCCTGCAAAGGTTTCCACTTCTTGGCTATTCTAGTAGAAACAAAAAGATCACTACAGTTTGGAATCTGAAGAAGCTGACTTACCTAGAGAGGTGCAATCCAGGACATTTTCCAAACACCCAACCAGGGCTTCAATATCACTGTCCTGTCAATAAAAGAAGAATGTTTAGTGACAGAAACATGTTTATGCAACATTTAGACACAGCACATACATAGAATCATTTACAAAATTGTTATACAAGGTTGCTTTACTTTACTTTTTTAAAGAAAGCCATCTATCTATAACACACACAAACACACACACACACACACACACAGAGAGAGAGAGAGAGAGAGAGAGAGAGAGAGAGAAAGAGAAAGAGAGAGAGAGATATCTGTAAATGTGTGCTTCCAATCTGCAGATTGCCTGCTCATTCTCTCTGATGGGAAGGGTGGAGCTAACAATGTTAACAGTGGCCTTAGTGTGTTTGGTTTTGGGGGGAGCAGGGAAAGTGCTCTGCACTGAGCCCATCCCTCAACCTTACAAGTGATTTCAACCAAAATACAAGTACCTGAGGGCTCTGGTTTCATCTTTTGTTTGTTGCTTTCCAAACTCTCCTTAATAATCAAATATTATTTTAATTTTCAAATACACTAAATGCTATAATAATAAAAACCAAGATGTATTAATCAATAGTACAGCAGGAATCAAGAGAAGATTTTTTTCTACATCTTTGGAAATCTGTGACCTTCAAGGAGTCATAAATAAAATAATTATCCTCGTCATTTACCTCAGTCCTCAAAGAAAGCCAGCTATTTCCCATGGGGGCCGGGGAGATTTCAGAACTATACTAGATAACAAATACTGTCTTTGATGCAAAATAAATATCTGTTCTCCACCCAGCAGGCTGCAAATAATCCAAAATAGCATCCTAACAATCTGGGAAAATGGAACCTCTTAATTATTTTCAGGTTTATGGCTACATTGAGAGGGATTCATCATTTATGGATCACATACTCCATTTCAAGTCAAGCAAACATTTCCCATTGCAGCAGCTGTCTGCAGGGCTTAGGAGAAGCCGCAAGAGTGTGACAGGCTACTCTAACACATTCCATAAACATGTTGGATTTCATTTTCCAACATTCTCTGAAGTGTGAGCAGCTGCTTTTCATGCATGTTGTAAAATTGAGCATCATCTCATGCTTAGAATACACAGAAGAGACAGTGATGAGGAGGGCTTGCCTAGTTAGTGCTGGTCAGTGCAGTCAAATACCAAACAGAAATCCTTGATGACTGGCCCAGGAATAGGGAGGCAGTTACCAGGGAGGCACAGTAATCAAAGAAGGCCAACAGACTCTTCTTTCTGTACCAGCGTGGAGTCATGGACTCTCCAGAGAGGCACCCTCCACTAGAGGGGGCACCATAGGCCTATGACATATGCCATCTGCTGATGGCACCAACCAAGGGAGGTCAGGTTCTAAGCCTGGCTCCTCTGCCAGGTGTACTGGCCCTGGACAGCAGCTTAACTTCCCAGCGCTTAGCTTATTTGTCTTAAATGTGTATGAGTGTTTTACCTGCACATGTGTGTCTGGTGCCCGAGGCCAGTGGATCCCAAGACTGGAGTTACATACTGTTGTAGCCATAAGTGAGTGCTGGACCATTTGGGCTTCTCTCTCTCTCTCTCTCTCTCTCTCTCTCTCTCTCTCTCT